CCCCAAAACCCCAAAACCCCTCTGCTCTCGAATTTAAGAAAAAAGTAAAAAAAAAGGAGAAGGAAATTAAAAAATTAAGAATTGTAAAAATATTTCTTCAGTCATTCATTTGATTACTTTTCTCCCCAAGTTGTTGTTTGCTTAAAAACACACTAATGTCATGATGGGTGAAAGGTGAAGCCCCTTTACTTGTTTGTGATTAAAATCCAACTATGTCCTCATTCAAGGTTGACTCCTATAGAATTTTTATTCCTGTAGTGAAATCTTTTAGATTTCTTATAACTCTCTCGTTTTATCTATTCTATGGACTACCTTGAGCTGTATAAATGCCTAGCATATTTCTCTTTGTCATTACTTTTCTCTAATTAGCCTAATTTATTGGCGGCATATTAAAAGCTGATTATATAATTCTGTTTGTGCTAGGGTTCTGCTAATGAGATCTGTTCAGAGAGTTATTTCTATCAAGCATGTCTTAATGTCTGTTTGAAGAATGAGGCTATAGCTTACTTTTGTACATTCTATCAATAGGTCTCAGATCATTTTAATAGAACTCAACTTAGTCAAAATTCATATCTTCAAATGCTTTCTAAAACAGATTAGGATTTTTTATAATGTTCTTTGCAAACACTAGTTCCTTTCTGAGCAAATCTATATAATGTTTTTATCTCTCTACTAAGACTTCCTTTAAATCTAATTCCTTTTTAGTATCATTTTTATATCTAAAAAGCTCATCTTTAAGATAGTCTTTCTCCTTTAAAATCAGCTCTTCTCTCGCTTTATATCCCTCAATTAACGAATTAATTTTCTCCGATTAATTATTTTCTAAATCTCTTATTTTCTACTCCAAAATTGTTTAGGTGTTTACTGCTGTCTCGTATTTATTAAGATGATCATTAAACATCTCTTCTAATTATTGAAATTCTTCATTTTACTTTTCGAATCTTTCATCCTATTAATCAATCTTCTTTTTCAACCTATCAATTTTTACATTTAACACTCTGGCGTCATCATTTAATGATTTTTAGCCAAATGTACTTTATAGGTTGGCTGAAGGTTTATCAAGCAATGCCCCTTCAGCTCCTTGAATTAAAAGTCCTAAATAACTCTAAGTGGGAATTGTGAAAGATTACGCCATTGTCTTTTACTCCCTGACCTTCTCTAATTTCTCCTCATCTTGCTCAGGTCTACAGTAACTTATCATTGTTGAGCCATGATATTTTTCCATTATAAGATGAATAAGTTTTGACAAATCTATTATTGATATTATCTCGAATGATGGTATGATTTTCCATCTCGGATGCTCAGTAATACAAAGTTCGCTTCTGAATTAAATATTTTACTATTCTTGGAGGGCAATAATACCAAGCAATTTTTTAATCAGGAAATCTCTTTTGATCAGTTGCGTTCTAGAATCATTAAACTACTCGATTAAAGTCTATATTTCTTGTTTGAACTTCTTCTGAAGTTCATTTAAGCGGAAGTTGTATTTTTCTTTAGCTTTATGCTTAACCTTAGCCTTTAGATTTCTTTTCTCTATATCATGAGCATTTTCCATTTTTTTAATTTTTTACTCCATTCTAGCTTTTTCAATTCTCTCTTTTCTGAGGATAATATCTAAATTATCTCTTTCTACTTTAACTTTTTTTACCTATTCTTATAAGGTGTTAATTTATTGTTATAGCTGAGCCTAGATTTATGATTCTAAGTTTACTCCAAACTTTGCTGGACTAGAAAATAAACTGCCTGCTGTACCACCAATTTATGAAACATTTAAATCGGCATTACTTCCAATGCCTGTAGTTTAGACTTTTTGCTAGATATTTGTGATTTTTTTCTTCAGACTTTTCCCTATATTACTCATTAGATTATTTCCTGCATGCTAGATTAAAATAATTAAAAGAAGAAATAATTAAAGTCCTACTTTAGGGTCATCAAGATCATCCCAATACTCGTTGCTAATTTCTGACTGTTGCTCATACTCTCCTTCTTAATCATCATTGTCATTTTCAATTTTATTTGCCTTGAATTGCTCCAGTAATTTACTTGTGTATTTAGTGGATGCCATCTCTTGTCTTAGCTATAGGAAAATATATAGTTAAAAGCATACTTGAATAATATCATCTGAAATAGAAAGTCTGTTATCCAACTGAACAAAGTTGTTCATTTATAATTTTATTCTATCAATACTTATTTTCCTAACATTTATTCTTAATATTTGAAGTAGGGGTTTTGGGGTTTTGGGG